GTAAACTGAACAGTTATATTTCAGTGTTCATTGTCTCCTCTCCATTACCTCAGTAAACTGAACAGTTATATTTCAGTGTTCATTGTCTCCTCTCCATTACCTCTGTAAAGTCATCAGTTATATTTCAGTGTTCATTGTCTCCTTCATTACCTCTGTAAACTGAACAGCTATATTCCAGTGTTCATTGTCTCCTCTCTATTACCTCTGTAAACTGAACAGTTATATTTCAGTGTTCATTGTCCTCCTCTCTATTACCTCAGTAAACGGAACAGCTATATCCAAGTGTTCATTGTCTCCTCTCTATTACCTCAGTAAACTGAATAGTTATATCCCAGTGTTCATTGTCTCCTCTCTATTACCTCTGTAAACTGAACAGCTATATCCAGTGTTCATTGTCTCCTCTCTATTACCTCTGTAAACTGAACAGTTATATCCCAGTGTTCATTGTCTCCTCTCTATTACCTCAGTAAACGGAACAGCTATATCCAAGTGTTCATTGTCTCCTCTCTATTGCCTCAGTAAACTGAATAGTTATATCCCAGTGTTCATTGTCTCCTCTCTATTACCTCTGTAAACTGAACAGTTATATTTCAGTGTTCATTGTCTCCTCTCTATTACCTCTGTAAAGTGACAGTATATCCCAGTGTTCATTGTCTCCTCTCTATTACCTCTGTAAACGGAACAGTTATATCCCAGTGTTTATTGTCTCATATCTATTACCTCTGTAAACTGAACAGCTATATCCCAGTGTTCATTGTCTCCTCTCCTTTACTTCTGTAAACTGAACAGTTATATCTCTGTGTTTATTTCAGGCAGGTTTCATGATAATATGAATAAACGTCCAAGGTCATGAGTGAAATTATATGATGAATTTCATAAATTATAAAACCTCAAAATTTTACATATAATCATAATTTCTTTCTACATTAACCTCATAAAAATTAAGATATGTACTTGTCCTTGTTTTCATTTAGATTGTTTTTCACTTTGTTTTATCCATTGTGTGACAGTTAAAGTAAATGCTGTTGTCTTTTTTATATGTTATATGTTTTAAAATTTAAATAGGTTTAAATTATATTGATAATTCAATGCTAACACATTTTTATAAAGTGACAGACAATCTGAAGAAAGAATGTCGGGCACTTGAACTAAGTTTTGAATTTGAATAAAAATTTTGTAATGCCACCGGATTAAGACGTAAAGATGTAATGAATATCACAAGATTATTCCATCCATCGATAGAATCTGACACGATATTGGATATGGTTATGTAGTGAACATATAATAACAATATTTGTTAAAGTAAAGTTGTCTTTTAGTTGAATATTATTGCTATAAATGGAATATTTTGACACTGACTGATACTTTCATTGCATTTAGTTTTTTACAAAAAATGAGTCTTGGTATGTTAGATTGCAGGCACTGAAAATTGATTATAAGTGTTTATGACATTTGAGTCCCAGACTAATCCCTTTAGATTCTCCCATACATTTTGCAAGACAGAGAAGCAAAATTTGGTTTAATGAAGTCCCTGCATTGACAAAGTCACATGACCTTGGGCTGCACAATAGCTGTATCCACTCTCCAGTCCATAAAAATTAATATCAAATAATTGCATGTTTTTTGTTGAAATTTGGAATTCAACCTTTTTATCGTGGCTTTTCTTCGTTTTTTTCTATCTATTTGTTTGTCCTGTACAGTTTTGTTTCATTTTATGTTATTTTTTTAATCAAGCATTGTATTACTATTTTTAGTTTAAGAGATGAATAAAATCCAGTGAAAATAACCTTTTTTCAATATTTTGACATTCAACTCATTAAAAATCAGTGAAAATAAACTTCATACAAAACAGCAAAAACATTGTTTCAGCAAAAATTAATTCCAGTACAATTAATATACATGTAATTACAGTAGAAGTTAACTTTTAAATTCTTATTCATAGGGACCTGTTGGACTTAATGCTGCCCACATGGTTATGGAGTTATTCCAGGACAACAGGAAAATCATTGATAGAGTGACAAGAGCACAGATTGATGCATTTGTTGAATTACTCAGGAAAAACAAGGCAAGTTAAACTAAAAATACTATCATATACCAGTAATAAGTCATCATTGCCAAAAATCTAAAAAATTGACAAAACATATTATTCTATACGACAATACAAATACTATATTACCTATATTAGTAGTACATACACTTACATAAATGCCAGAGGTGTATTTATCAATTAGTGTTCATGAACACCAAAGTCTACTTCTCTCACCATTCACCAAATAAATTGACCTAATATTTCCTATATTTTTCAAAGATTTTGATTAAGATGTATATCCAATGAGAAATTAAGTCACTTGGTCCAAAATTAACAAAAAATGATATATATATATATATATATTATTTTATTATATAAAAATTCATGTAAATGTGCACAATGTGACATTCAAAGGGTTAATGATTGGCATATAATAAATGCAACTTTCCGTTGATTAATTAGTGATGTACTTCTTAGAATAAGACAAAATTCTGTACCGTATTTGTTCTGTTACTAGTGCATACACATACATCAGTGACAGAAGGACAAATGCATGTGTACAGTTGAAATATCATATTTTAATGATCCAGTGTATAGTAAATGCAATGTTTGGTTCCAGTGTACTTCTATCAGAATAGATAGATGCAATGTTTGGTTCCAGTGTACTTCTATCAGAATAGATAGATGCAATGTTTGGTTCCAGTGTACTTCTATCAGAATAGATAGATGCAATGTGATCTCTAACAAGACTGTTTGTAGAGTCAAAATGGAATCTCCCAAAATGTTCCTTACAAATTGTGAATTGCAACACTTGAATTTTTGCTAGATCAGAAACAAGTATAATCCAATATTAACATTACTTCATTACATCACTGAAGTATTAGGCTAAAAAAAATATGTTTTTGGTTCTGAGACGTTCAAAAAATGTTTTTTTTTTCAATTTTGAAATATTTTGGCAGAAACCAAAAAAAGAAGTTAAAAGCAGTTCCTCATGAACTGACATGCTGTGTACTGTTCAAAACAAATCATTTCTTTGTTGCCTCACTTGGCAGTTATTAAAAGACTCATTTTATTCACCTGAAAATCATACGTACACGAACAGTGATGATTACACAATATAAACATTGATATGTATTTACAATAACCTACCTATCAACATTTAGTTCCGTATAGTGAATTGTTTGTATGTGCTAGTTATATTTGAGTTGAAAAATAACAGCAACAACAACATACATGAAATTGTCATTGACAATTTTTTCTCATTTTTTTTATGCAGAATTATAGATATTTAGATTTACTGAGTGTGATGTGTGTTTGTGATGGTGTGGCCATTCCTGATAACCAAAGTAAGTTGCAGCTCACTTATGTACATGAATATTCTCTTTATATGTATTTATTCATATTCTTCTACTAGAAATTTTTACCATTTCAGGATTGTACAACTCAGTAGTGACAAAATGTTGAGAAAGTCATTGTAGGAATCTAGATAAATTATCAATGCTACAAATTCTCACTGTCTCGCAAATATTTGTCTCTTGCATGTTGTTATCTTTTTTCAATATTTGTTTCTACAAAAATTTGTACAAGCACAAGCAATCTTCGGTGATTGTGAAAATGACATTAAAATGAGTAAAGGCAATTTTGTTTTAAAAGTCAACAAATGTGTTTCATTGTGTATTCATTTATCATCTAGAATATAGTGAAATCTCTCAAAAAATTATTCTTCTTTGATGGGCAACTATAAAAGGATATTGACTCTTTAAACAGCCTTTGTGTCACCCATATGTACGATAAAATACTTAATTTTCACTGAAAAGACTAATCTGGTGTTTTATATGGAATTTATTTTCGCTGATTTGTGACATGTTGTATGTAAAATATAGGTAAAAAGCTACATTCGCAGGATTTTATTTTCACTGAATTATTCCTTCAGCGAAAATTAATTCCAAGCAAAAATAAAGTATTTTACAGTACATCTTAGAAGTACTTTGTCACTAGAGGGTGCTGTTTGTAAAAAAAAATGTGTATTGTAACAAGATTGTAACTGTATATTTCTTGTTACTCCTTACAGCTTATATAACTGAGGCCTGGTTAGTTAATGGTAAAAAAGGTTCTCAGGTAAGTGAATTGCAGAATGTGGCTTTTCTATTGTTACTAACACTGTTACAGCGCTTCTTTTTTTTCGGACAGTCAGTTAGCAAGAAGGCTTGCAACTTTGCAGAGAACTTTAGCGTTTGCTTTGTTCTAGACTTAATGGTGCCACTTGACAGATAGCATGCTGTGTGTGAATTATTATTTCATTGGCTGATAGTAATTATTATTTGGAAATTAAATGTACATATTCAACAACTGTTCTTCATTTTTTGTTTATCTATATTGTATGTGTTTCATTTTGAAAAAATCTACTTTGGAGAAAATGTGATTCACATTCCAAATTTTGGTTCCCCTGGCATCTTTAATGAAATATCCTATCTAAGTACTGAACTGAAATAATGATATTATCAAAAAATCACAGAAGATTGGGTGAACGCAAGGGCGATGAGACTCAATTTTTCAAGGCTGCAGGTCGTTTGGATCAGACATTTTTGTTTGTTTCAAGTGTGTCTAGAAACATGGCAATGTTGTTTTTCGGTAAATATATAGAACATGTTCTGCTCCAATAAAAGATTTTGATATGCCAATCAAACATATTTTTTTTCTTCCATACCCAGTCCTGTCTATATTTAACTGAGGTTGGGACATCATTAGGCAAAGATCCTGATGTGGTTTATGTATCTACTGATAATGGTAAAAGATGGATTGCATTACCACAGTTTACAAAGGATGTCTCAAGTGAACAGTTTTTATTTCTTGATCATCAGCTTGATTTATTTGGTAAATTATGTGAAGTAAGTAACAATAACTTTATCAATATAACATTGTGTTTGATTTGAACTTGATTTATGCACGTTGGTTGATACTCTCGCTGTACTGTCTTCGTGCACACTTTTCGGTATACTCGTAATAACCTTATTATTATACATCTTTTCCTCCCAAGGATACACCATGGGAATGCCGAAATACAAAAAGTTTAGAATATTTCCTAATATGGTAGGATGAAAATACCCTGTAAAACACCGCAAAATTACGGCAAGCTGTAACTTATGGCGTTACGGTGACAGATGTATAGTAATTCTTTTTAATATTATTGGTTAATACCTAAATGTTGTCAATATTTTCTCATCCATAGGGTCGTAATGATTATGCCATAAATGTCATTGCAAAGGAGCTTAAATACCTTACTTGGGAAGAAGCTTACAATTGCTTACAGAACAAAAATCTACCAGATCAACTGCGAGCAAAGTATTGCGGACTGATTATTAGTAAGTTATAGTTCATTAGCCCCTGTGTCGGCAAACAAAAGTCCAAAAGGGGACTTATAATTTGGATTCTAGCTGTCTGCATGTTTTTTTGCCTGTCCTTTCATGCGTCTGTGACTATAACATTTTTGACATTCACAGATCATTTTCTCTGAAATTTCTAACATAGACAATTTATTAGTTCCCGTTTGGACGCAGTCTGAAAACGGGGACTTATGTTTTGACCTCCGTGTGTGCGTGCATGCATGCGTGCGTCCGGACCTGTATCTTAGAAATGCCTGGACCAATCACAATCAAACTTCACACATACATCATATTATACATATGCACGTCAATTTGTTTCATGATCTGATTCAAAAAATCATGAAAATCAAGCATTTCTGGGCTGTTTACAGATGGATTTTGTTCAAACTTGGTATATACATTAGACATTATAGAACCTTGATGCAAATCATTTTGTTTTTCAGATAAGATTCAAAATGGCCGACTGGCAGCCATTTTGTTTTAATGAATGTGGTTCTTGTGCCATATTTCTGACTTGCTTTCACTAATTATGTTAAAATTTTCAAATATTCATTATACAACATGTCACAGATAGACAGATATATTGGTTTGACGATCCTATTCAAAATGGCCAAATGGTGGCCATTTTTGTGCTAAATAAAATCATCAAATATCAAGCATTTCTGGCATTTATGGATGGATTTCGTTCAAACTTGGTACATATATTACATTACAGGTTCCTGATGCACATCATTTATTTTTGCAGATCGGATTCAAAATGGCTGTCTTGCGGCCATTTTGTTTTAATGATTGGGCTTCTAGAGCCATATCTCTTAAATGCTTTGACTGATTATATTCAAATTAAATATATTCGTTATACATCATGTTATATATATACATGTATTCAAAATGGCTGATTTTGAATACTGTTCCAGAGCAATATCTCTCAATATGGACAAGTACTTGTTTGACGATCAGATACAAATGTCAATCATTTTAATGTTAAAAAATCATATTCCTGACATGGTTATATTCCAGCTATATTACTATAAACAAAACTATATATCTTAAATTTGATAACTAACGGGAACTGTGCCATGCATGGCTGGTTGTGGTTAGTATTTGTTGGTTTTAACAGTTTTTAATGATTCAATTTGTTCTTCTACAGGTCTCTTTGTAGATGTTGGTGTAAATGCTTCTATCTTAGAACGAGTCAAACTATCCTATGAATGGGATGAAGTACAGACAGGAAAATCTTTGGAAAAAACTGTACAGAGTGTAGTAAGTACATATACATACTAGAGTTTTTGTATGAAAATGGTATATTCATTTGGTATGAAATTGCCAGTGAAAAAGTGAGTTGTATTATTATTTTACATGTTCATGTGGATTTAATTTACAAGATTTAATTTATTATTCATTGTCGCCAGCCAAGGTTCATTTATTTGCCCCACCAATATACATGTACATTGTAACCTCAATATAATTAACACCTTTATAATAAACTTCCTGATATAATGAACACATAACATGTCTCTCGCTTACAACAAACCCAGTGTATTATGTGCTTCAATATAGTGAACATTTCACT